ACACAAATGGAAAGATATCCCATCCCATGCTCATGGATTTAAGAATATTAAAATATTCATATTATCCAAATCAATCTATAGATTCACCGCAATTCCTATCAAAATTCCAATAGAACTTTTCACAGAAAAAGAACAAAGAATATTAAATTTTGTATGGGAGCACATAAGATCCCATACAGCCAAAGCAATCTTAAGAAAGAACAAAGCCAGAAGTATCATGCTTCCTGATTTCCAATTATATTACAATGCTATTATAATCAAAACAGTACTGGCACAAAAACAGAAATAAAGATAAATGGAACAGAATAAAGAGCCCAGGAAAAAACCTCACCCATATATGGTCAATTAATTTGTGACAAAGGAGGCAAGGATATACAATGGGGAAAAGACAGTCTTTTTAATAAATAGTATTTAGAAAACTGGACAGCCACATGCAAAAGAATGAAATCGAACCACCATCTTATACCATACCTAAATTAACTCAAAGTGGATTAAAGTCTTGAATATAAGACCAGAAACCACAAAATTCCAAGAAGAAAACATAGGCAGTAGGCTACTTGGCATTGCTCTTGGCAGTATTTTTATTTTTTGGTAACTGATTCCAAGGCAAAAGCAAAAAAAGCAAAAATAAACAAATGGGACTACATCAGACTAAAAACCTTCTGCACAGCAAAGGAAACCCTAAATAAAATAAAAAAGGCAACCTTCTGAACAAGATATCTACAAGTCATATATCCAATAAGGGGTTAATAGCCAAAATAGATCAAGAACTCAGAATTCAATAACAAAAAACCAATCTGAGTAAGCAATAGGCAGAAGATCTTTGGTTTATCTATACGATGGAATGCTACATGGCAATGAGAAAGAATGAAATCTGGCCATGTGTAGCAACATGGATGGACCTTGAGGGTGTTATGCTNGCACTGCTAGGAATTTACCCAAGGGATACAGGAGTGCTGATGCATAGGGGCACATGTATGCCAATGTTCATAGCAGCCTCTCAACAATAGCCAAAACATGGAAAGAGAGTAAGTGTCCATCAACGGACAAATGGATCAAGAAGATGTGGTTTATCTATACAATGGAATACTACATGGCAATGAGAAAGAATGAAATCTGGCCATGTGTGGCAACATGGATGGAACTTGAGGGTGCTTTGCTGAGCGAAATAAGTCAGGCAGAGAAGGACAAATACCATATGTTTGCATGTATAGGAGGATTAGGAGGAACTTAATGGAGGACCGTGGGGGAGAAGAAGGGGGGAAATGGTGGGGGAGAAGGAGAGAGGCAAACCATGAGAGACTCTTGCATGCTGAGAACAAATTGAGGACTAATGGGTGTGGGGGGGAGGGGGGAGATGGACATGGAGGAGGGCACTTGTGGGGATGAGCACTGGTTGTTATATGGAAACCAACTTGACAATAAACTATTTGTAAAAAAAAAAATTAAAAATTAATTCATTAAAAATAAATATAAACTACATATGAAAAATAAATAGACATTTTTCCAAAGAAGACATACAGATGGCCAAAGTAACATGAAAAAAATGTTCAACAACATTAATCATTAGGGAAATACGAATCAAAACCACAATAAGATATCATCTCTCACCTGTCCTAATGGCTGTTTTCAAAAAGATGGGTAATACCAAGTGCTGGTGAGGATATGGAGAAAAGGGAACCTTTGTGCATTATTGGCGGGACTGTAGATTGATGCAGCCATGATGAAAAACAGTATGAAGTTTCCTCAAAAGACTAAAAAGAGAACTACCATATGATCCAGCTATTCTACTTCTAAAATACGAAGAAAATGTAGACATTAATTAGAAAAGATACATGCACCCCTATGTTCACTGCAGTATTCACAATAGCAAAGATACTAAAACAACCAAAGTATCCATTGGTGGATGGATGGATAAAGATGTAACACACACACACACACACACACACACACACACACACACACAAAATGGAGTACTATTCAGCCATAAAAAAGAATGAAATTCTTGTCATTTGTGACAACATGAATGGACCTTGAGGTTATAATGCTAAGTGAAGTGAGTCAGACAAAGGAAGACAAGTACCATGTGATTTCACTTATATGTGGTATGTAAAAAACCAAAACCAACGAACAAGCAAAACAAATATAACCGAACTCATACATGCAGAGAGCAGACTCCTAGTTGCCAGAAGAAAGGAGGTATATGATGTAGGTGAAATGGGAGAAAGGGTTAAGAGGTACAAACTTCCACATAAAGTAAGTCATGAGAATACAATGTAGATCATGGTGTCTGAAGTCAGTAACATCGTACTGCATATTATGTAACTTCATATGGCAAAGGGAGAAACAGTACTTATTGTGGTGACTGTTTCAGAGTATATGTAAGTATCAAATCATTAGGTTGTATACCTAAACTAATATAATGTAAAATTTCAATTACATATCGATAAAAACAAGTTAAAATAAAAACTGAAGCACAAAGAGAGATTAAATTATTTGCTTTAAGGTCACACTGTCAGAAAATAAAAATTAAGTGGTAACATAGGACATAAATAACAATTAAAATCAATTCTTTCAACTTAGATTCAGTCAGAAACATACACCTACTACATAAATGTTAGTTACTGCTTTAAAGGAGGTAATAGTGTAGCAGGCCCCCATTTATTGAGCATCTAGAGGCAAAGATAAAAAAATTTAAGACATAATCCTTATCCTCAAAGACAAAATAAAAAGCCTTCAATCATATAGTTAGGAATATATTCAGGTGAGCACATACATACACCTATACAGCTTGCTATAGTCTGAGGATTGATTTTCTGATTTGTGGAGTGCCTTCACAAAAAAAAGCATATTCTAATATTTTCCCATTTACTTTTGAAATCTAAAAAATTTACCCACTGAGCCAGCAGTGGGTAAAGCATGCAACTCTTGATCCTGGGATCATGAGTTCAAGCCCCACATTGGGAATAGAGTTTACTTAAGAAAATAAATATAGGGGGGGGCATTAAAAAAATAATGTAAATAAAAATAAAAATGAGGTGGAAAAGATAAACATTAAGCTATTTCAGAGTTTTCAGTGTCAGTGAAGTGTATCTTTCCCTCTGACTGTTCTTACAGTTCAGTTTGTATGACATACATTAGCACTTGGATATATACTGTTCTCTGCTGTTATATATCTTTTTCTCTCCATTTGTGTTTTGACCTCATTAAGACCCGTACTTCCTTTCCAACCCCATCTTTCAGAGCCAATAGTTGGTAATGCATAAATGCTAGTTGACTGGTACTCTGCCAACCATATGTTACTTCCATAAAAACTTTGCTACAATATTTATAGGAGACAGATACTGATTAAATTTGATTTAACTAATAATTATGAGTTTATTGGGTATAAAGTAGAAGACATTTTACTAGATACCATATAACCCTAATACATTAAAAAGATAAAGTTATGTGTCACAAATTAGTATTGCAGAGAAATAGCTTCATGCTGTGCCTCTATAAGTTGTTTCTTTTTTAAAAAAAAAAAAGTTAGAAGAAGCAACTATTGAACATTCTGCTTATCTAAAGGAAGTTGACACATGTTTGAGAACTTTAATCCTTTAAGATAAAGTGATTTTCTAATAGGAGGTTAAAAATGAAAAGGGAGTAACTATTTGGAACTTAGTGTTTTTGCCACTACTTTCAGCATATTATGATTCATCTTAAATTTAAACGTCTTGGTAGACGACACAAAATTCATGAGATCTAGGTCTGAATTTTTCCTTCCTCGCTTTAGCGATGAGTAGAAAAGTACATGGTTACAGAACCCAGAGAAAACTCTGCCTTAATCAAAGTTAGGCTCTTAAAATATTAAAGACTCCTGTGGTACAGATCAAATACAGGCCTGAGGTTTAAAGGTATAAGCTTTAAAACTTTTTCCAGGTAATTAATTAGCATTCTTTAATCTTCCTAATCTATATTTAACAAAGTTATTTCAGAATTCATCAGTGCCATTAACAAAAGTCTACGCATACACATATAGAATTACATGCACATCATTTTAATATCAAAATTGACTTTCCAATGAAGTATTCTGTCTCGCTGGTGAATGTGCTCATGTCTTTATGTTATATTTGAGTTCTCATTTGATATAGTACTACTTTGAATTATGACAGCAATGTAACTGATAATGCTACTTTTCTCCTGTCCTCTTCCTGTATGGAAAGGAAACCCAGAAGCTTAGCACATGAATTCAGATCAGCTCTTACTGCCCTAAAACATGTTAGCATCTGAGAAAATTAATGAACCTAGAAAAAACTTTTTTTTAACAAATAGGATTCAGGAAACTATAAATCTTTCACATTAATGTCAGAATACTAAGGACCAAGTGCCTTGTCCAATGGCATACAGGTAATGAGGAAGGCTGAGGTGGTCTGCTTGTTCCCATCATACTCCTCCAATCTCAGGCCTTAGTCTGCACTCAGTGGAGGAAGGTTATAGTTTTGAATTGTTTGAACCCTTTATAAAGATCACATTGAGTACATTTACACAGAGAAAGGTCATATTAAGCTCATACAATTCTTTCAAACCCTCAAAAGAGGCATTTGGAATTCTGTCCTCTCTAAACTTATAACAGTCACATTAAAATTTCTTCATGAGATAAGAAAAGGGAACTGAAGATGAACCAAAAGATCAAGAACATGGATGAGCTAAATATTTGTTGTAGATGAAAACTGCTCTGAAGAAAACAGTGAGATGCATGTAAGTTCCAAATCCTGTTTAAGCAGTAATCAGATACCCTAAGGATTGGACTTGGCCTTAAAAATAGGCAGCTACCTATGCCAGAAAATCTGTAGGACTCCTTCCTGAAAGTTTTGAGTGGTGAAGACAGTCCCAAAGAGGAAGAGTGAGGTTGGGTTGGGCTCCTTCAGAGCCCTGAGGGGAGCATCTAGTTAGTACATGTGTGCCAAGTCAAAAACGCTAAGACCTACTTAATTTATTATAAAATATGACTTAAATACCTCTTTAGGGTGGAAAATTATGTTATCTAGTTTGTAATCTCCATGTACCAAATTTTCTTCGTTGTCATTATCTGGCAAGTTTTTCATTAGCCACTCAGATAGCTGGTTCATGGCGAGGATGTCCTGATGAGCTGCAGCTTTATACTGCTCTGTCCAGGTTGATACCTCGAGATATATAAATAAGAAAAATCATAAAGCTGAACGTAGAGGTTAGGTTCTAAATTTAAGCAAAATTCAATCATATCAAATTTGGTTTTATTCCTAAATGTTCAAGACAAATACCTGTAAGTGACATTCACGTGAGCCTAAAACATTTAAATCTCTCTTCCATCTGGTTCCCTTTTACTAATTTAGATTTTTATCAGGAAAAAAAAATACTGGCATAGGAATCAAGAAATGTGGGTTCTAGCATCAATTCTGCAACTATTTTGTGGAAGAATAAAAGAATGTACACAAACACATATATTCACAAATAAAAAGGCATAGCAGATTTCTGGAAGGGTCACAAGAAACAAGTAATTTCTGAAAAAGGAAATATGGGGGCTGGAGGAAGAAGGGCGATATTCACTTTTCATTTTAATGCTTTTATTATCCACAGAATCTTCTAAATATATTTCAGGTATTAGGAGTGCAAAGACTTTTTATTGTTCTTAGAATCAAATGCAAACAAATCAAACTATTCTCAAAGTCCTCCATCAATTAAGTCCATATTATTTATCAGTTCATAGTTCTCTCCCCTTTGCCCAAGGTATGTCCAGTCAACTTAGTGCAGTAAAGACCTTCATCTTTGGAATTATACAGACCTGAGTATAAATTATGCCTAAGCCACTTATTCATGTATTATTTGATATGCATTAGCCTCAGATTTCTCATCTACAAAATGTGGGTAATAATACCTATGTCTTAGGGTTATTACGAAGATTTTAAAAGAGTAGGTCAGCAACACACCTACCATGGGACCTGGCATAGAATGAGTACTGTCTCAATCTTAGTTCCCTTCTCTCTTCCCTCAGCCCCACACCCCAAAGACATACATACATACATATATACATACATACATAGGGAAATAACCCTATATTTCCTGTCTTGCTGTCCCTTTGGTTTGAAATGCTCACCATCTCTTCCTTATCATTCTAGATTTTCTCTTTACTTAAATACACTGTGCAAGACAGACCTTTCCCACAAAGCTCTCTCCACCTAAGTAAGGGCACACTGATACGCACTCTCTGAATGGAAGAGCTCTCAGGATAAGTACCAATTTACTACTAAATTATATACTCCTTTATTCTATTTTCAAGTTTCACATAAATAAGATTTATGTATAGGTCTCTCAAAAAATGTTCCTTTAGGGGAAGAACTTATCCCTATTTTCTTGATACCTAACACAGTACTCAGGAAGTATTAAACACACAGTTGTGCTTAATAAAACTTAAAAAGGAAAACTGTATAGAAAATATATTGATAAATTAAGTGAAGAGGCTGAAAAGGTTTAAATTTGCATTCATGTACATGTTGTTAGTTACAGAAGCTTAGGCTGAACAAACCTGATCTAAAAATATAAGACTATTTTCTGCTAACAACAAACCAATATAAAGGCTGACATTAAAAGTTATACCTGTTTCACGGGCACCCTCCTACACTGTTGGTGGGAATGTAAACTGGTACAGCCCCTCTGGAAAACAGTGTGGAGGTTCCTCAGGAAACTAACAATAGAACTCCCCTATGACCCAGCAATAGCACTGCTAGGAATTTACCCAAGGGATACAGAAATGCTGAGGCATAGGAGCACATGTACCCCAATGTTCATAGCAGCACTCTCCACAATAGCCAAAACATGGAAAGAGCCTAAGTGTCCATCAACAGATGAATGGATCAAGAAGATGTGGTTTATCTATACCATGGAATACTACATGGCAATGAGAAACAATGAAATCTGGCCATGTGTAGCAACATGGATGGACCTTGAGGGTGTTATGCTGAGCGAAATAAGTCAGGCAGAGAAGGACAAATATCATATGTTTGCACGTATAGGAGGATTAGGAGGAACTTTACGGAGGATCAAGGGGGAGAAGAAGGGTTGAAATGGTGGGGGAAAGGGAGAGAGGCAAACCATGAGAGACTCTTGAATGCTGACAAAAACTGAGGACTGATGGATGTAGGGGGGAGGAGGGATGGGCATGGAGGAGGACACTTGTGGGGATGAGCACTGAGTGTTATGTGGAAACTAATTTGACAATAAATTATTTGTAAAAAAAAATTAAAAAATAAAAAAGTTATACCTGTTTCAGGAAAGTTTTTATTTTGACTAGTCACGCATATTATTTCCAAGAACTTGAGAAAAGAAGCTCTTTATGTGGGCGCATTACCTGTCTTTTGCAGTACCCAGCACCTCTACCATAGCCTTCCAGCTGCAACGACTGTACATTCAAGGAATGTAACTGAGCCATGGTTTCTATCACGGCCACATATATGGCTGAGCGTTCTGCTGGGCTAACTCCAGGAACTGTGAAATCACGAAAGAGTCGACCCTAAAAGAACAATTACAATATAATTTAAAACAAAATACGTTTTTTCATTCCAATTATTTGCAGCGTCATAATCTCCCATTGCCTATACACACAAAAAATCAGGGTAACAGTTTCTGAAAAAAACAATTCTTTCTAGAATATGCTAGAAAAACATTCACTTGGGAAGTATGTTTTATAGAATATATATATGCTAAAGAAAAAATACAAATATATTCCAAAATCAACTTAAAGGACAAAAAATACTCTCAAGTTACAGTTTACAAAAAAAAATTTTTTAACACTTTGAACTTACTATTGTTCTTAAGGGATTGATTTTCTATTTAGAGTAAGTAGTATTTTTCCCTCTACCATCTGAAGGATTTGGTTATTGCTAGTACTATAGCTCTTTATTGCCACCTAGAGGCAAATTTGAGAATAAGCCAACAATCACTACTAAATTTGTTCCTAGTCTATTTCATCCCTCCAACATTGCCTGTGCTCAAATTCAAATGAAAGTTTAAGCCCTTACAAAGCAAATTACCTAAAATGTTAATAAACTATCGTTTATTAACATCTAATTTCATGATTAAAAAATAAAAGCAACAATAAAGATTAAGTGTTAGTTTACCTGCACATGTTCCATCACGTAAAATTCTGTTCCAATGACAGAAGCATCACTGCAGTACAATAAAGGCTTGGGAACGGGGAATCCAATTGAAAACAAAGCTTTCTGCACTTTAAATTCTCTATCGATCTAAATAGGATGATGTATTATTAAAAATCAGAAACACAGAAATTAAGGTTTTTAATTTTCTTTACTTTTTTTTTTTTTTTAGTAATCTTGACATCCAGTATGGGGCTTGAACTCATGAGCCCAAGATTGAGAGTCATGTGCTCTTACAACTGAGCCAGCCAGGCACCCCAGAAGCACAGAAATTTAATAACTATTTGTGAGCTTACATTAATGCTAGAAATCAATTTTATTTAAAATTTTTTAAAATATTTATTTTTGAGAGAGAGAAAGAGAGAGCACGCGTGCATGAGTTGGGGAGGGGCAGAGAGTGAGACACAGAATGTGAAGCAGGCTCCAGGCTCTGAGCTAGCTGTCAGCATAGAGCATGATGCGGGGCTCAAACTCACAAACTGCAAGATCATGACCTGAGCCGAAGTCAGATGCCTAACTGACTGAGCCACCCAGGTGCCCCCAGAAATCAACTTTAAAACATCATCAACAAATGACCTGGGGGCTAATATTTTCCTTAAAGGTAGTTGTAGAGCAATTATAACAATTATAAATTAGGTCAGCACTAAAATAAATAATAATAATAATAATAAATTAGGCTAAAGGACAGCACATGAATGAGGCTTAATCCTGGCTCTGCTCATATGAAGGCAACAGTTCTTTTTTATTTTTTCAATATATTTTTTAATGTTTTTTATTTATTTTTGAGAGTCAGAGAGAGACAGCATGAGCAGGGGAGGGTCAGAGAGAGGGAGCTACAGAATCTGAAGACAGGCTCCAGGCTCTGAGCTAGCTGTCAGCACAGAGCCCAATGCGGGGCTCGAACCCACAAACCGTGAGATCATGACCTGAGCCGAAGTCGGACGCTTAACCAACTGAGTCACCCAGGTGCCCCAAGAAGGCAACAGTTCTTGACCACTATATTTCCCAGATCATCATAAAAACATCTCTGTTCTCAGCACTTCCCTGCTCACTGTGGCACGTTCTCACTCGCTTTTTCTCATGTCTCCCTAGAGGGCTCAGACAAGTCCCAATTCTAAGGCTCTGGGCACAGTCAGCTACAGGGCACTGGGGGAGGCCAGTGAGTGCTGGTAGAATGGAAAAAGGGAAAAGCACTAGCTTTTCTGGAGATCAAAGGAAGTACTTGTTTCTAAAGCAGGGGATGGGAATCCTTCCTGGTATCCAAGGCTGTCATGGAGTTCAAGATAACCATGGGGAAAAGATGCAATGAGATGCAAGCTAACACTGAAACAGGAATCCGAATATGACAGAAGGGTCTCCTTAACCCGGACAGATATATGGGCCTATCATCTAGGACCTCAGGACATGGCTCACAGCAGAGCTGTGATGCTGACTCATGTGCCCCAGACTCAGTGGTGACTGATGACTGCTGAGAAGGAGAAACCATGCAGCTCACTTCAACAGCAGGAATAAAGCATTATTGATAAAGATTAACTAGAGTAGGGACATGACTGCACCTGTGACAAAGATGAGAGAGGCCAGCAGAGCCAAAGGTTGTGACAGAAGTGTTTGTAATCACCCTGGTGCTGGGATCATGACCTGAGCCGAAGTCTGATGCTTAACCAACTGAGTCACCCAGGCATTTCTCCTGGGATACAATTCAAGTGAAATTTTTATCAGAGAAACAAAATATATTATCTATTATTTAATAACATGAGATGACTTTTAAAGCAATTTAGGAGCACGTGGGTGACTTGGTGGGTTAAATGTCAGACTTCGCCTCGGGTCACTATCTCACAGTTCATGAGTTTGAGCCCCTCATTGGGCTCTGTGCTGACAGCTTGGACCCTGCTTGGATTCTCTCTTTCCCTCTCTCTCTCTCTGCCCTTCCCCTGCTTGTGAGTGCACGTTCTCTCGCTCTCTGTCTCTCTCTCTTTCTCAAAAATAAACATTAGAAAAATAAAAAATAGAAGCAATGTAAAATGGTTTGTGCATAAAAAGCATTTATTTGTCAACAAAGAATTCTTGCAAAATTTGTAGGGGCACCTGGGTGGCTCAGTTGGTTGAGTGTTCAACTCTTGATTTCGGCTCAGGTCATGATCCCAGGGTCATGGGATCAAGCCCTGTGTTGGACTCCACACTGAGCGTGGAGCCTGCTTGGGATCCTCTCTCTCTCATGTGCTCACGTGCTCTCTCTCTCTCTTTCCCCCCTCCCCTTCACCTGCCCCTGCTCCTCTTCCCAGCTCATGCTCTCTCCCTAAAATTAAAAAAAAAATGGGGGGTGGTGCCTGGGTGGCAATTGAATGTCTGACTCTTGATTTGGGCTCAGGTCATGATCTCACATTTCATCAGTTTGAGCCTTGAGTTGGGTTCTGTGCCATCAACAAGGAACCTGCTTGGGATTCTCTCTCTTCCCCTCTCTCTGCCCATCCCCCACTCTCTCTCTCGCTCTCAAGGATTACTGCATTTGTACACCATACCTTATGTGCTTTAGGAAGAAGTGACCCAGGTGGTTTTTTTCTGAGTACATATGCTTGAAAGCCCTTCCGGAGATAAAAGGTTGGATTAGAGTGTCCTGATCTAGATAAAAGTAGAGAAAAGATCAATTACAAAGATATATTTTCCTTCCCCCAATCCTACCAAAATATCAAAAGAAGCACAAAATGAAAATAATCAAGTTCAGTGCTGGGAAATCAACAGGGGTGCTACCAGCAGCTCAAAACATTAGCTTTTGGATGATATAATGTGGATGATAACATAGTGGCAGCTGGAGAATCTATAACACATAGGTAGAAGGGAGGATCTCACTCCCTGCCTACAATTCATGAATTTTATCAGTGGTACACCTAGAACAATGCCTAGATCTAAGTAAATGAAGGCTGGGAAAAGAGATTGTATGTAATCAGTCAGAAAATTAATTACAGGATGCTAGAATAGGTGGGTTAATGTCCCCTCATCTGCTGTTGGAGATATAACTCACAGATGCTTCACCAAGGCTAGCACCTAAGTATAGCTCTCCACAATGGGAATTCTGGTAAGCAAGAAGTCTGGACTAGGGTAAACATCTGGGCCAGGGAAGTACAACAGGGCCCCAAATAACTCACAGATACCAAGGCACTGGCTTTCCTTGCAAGATGAGCAAAAATTCTCAAATGGATTAAAACTATGCTCCAGATACCAAAACTATTCAATTTACACCTTCATTTACAATATGGGTAGTTTAGAATTACCCAACTTCTGAAGACTCCAACAGCATGAAAGAGAGGCCTTAACTAAATAATGAGAAGAATAATTCTCTGAGGTAATAGGTAACAGGAAAAAGTAAAAAAAAAAAAAAAAAGTTTGAAGTTTCTCCCTAGGCTTTTAGCTTCCATCTGCAAAGGACGAAAGTACTCCAGATTGAATGTAGTAGCAGCTCTGCTGTCTACATCTTTCTTCCACAAGTCAGATCCATCCTCCCCAGGTATCATATCTAAGAACGCTGATCTTGGCACCAACTAATCCTGTGTGGATGCCTTTTAACACGGAAAAATGGAGATCACTGCCAGCAGTCAACGGGACCATCTCAGTGTGCCTGGGTGGCTCAGTCAGTTCGATCAGGTCATGACCTCAAGGTTTGTGGATTTGGGCCCCCCCATTGGGTTCTGTGCTGTCAGCATGGAGTCTGGAGCCTGCTTTGGATTCTGTGTCTCCCTCTGTTTGCCCTTCCCTGCTCATGCTCTCTCAAAAATAAACATTTAAAAAAAATTTTTTTTAAATAAAAGGACCACCTCAAGCTCTGTTGACTATCATGACATGGGATAATTTATTTGTGATGCTACAAAGAGTCATGTTGCAACGAAACTTACATTTTTTTTTTAATGCCAAAAGTCTGAATGGATGCATTTTTTGATGATGCAATCATATATGAAGTCCTAGCCTTTCAAGACGGTAAATCACCCAGGTGAAGTATAAAGAAAAAACAAAAAGCTTCTCATTGAAGGCAGAGTTACCATATGACCCAGCCATTCCACTCCTAGGTATACATCTAAAATAACTGAAAACACGTTTGTATAAAAACTTGTACATGGATGTTCATACTAGCACTATTCACAACAGCTGAAAAATGGAAACAACCCAAATGTCCACTAATAGATTGATGGATAAACAAAGTAATGGACTGTTAACCATAGAAGGAATGAAGTTCTGATACGTGCTACAAACAAGGATGGACTTTGAAAACATGATGCTAAGTGAAAAAAAGTCAGTTACAAAAGGCCATGTATTATATGATTCCGCTTTGAAATGTCCAGAATGTGTAAATCCATAGTGACAGAAAGTGGATTAGTGGCTACTAAGGGATGGGAGGAGGGGAGAATTGGTAGGTAGGAGTTTCTTTCTGGGTTGATGGAAATGTTCTGGAAATAGAGGTGCTGATGACACAACATTGTGAATATACCTAAACCCACTAAATTGTTATTTTAAAATAGTTCAAATTTTAAATGTTCTATAATAAATTTTATCTCAAAAAGTCCCAGTGTCACTATACTTCAACAGAAAAATAAATTTAAAAAATATATATTTATGTTAAAAAAAAATCTCACCAAACTAAAATCTTTTTCTCTACGTACATATCTATCGTGGTTCCTAAAAAGACACCCCCAAAATGTAGAAGCCCACCTTGGGAAGATCATCACCAACACTGTGCACATAGTAATGACTAAATTTAACCACTCTAAACATCAGGTTGCCATATAATCCAGAAACCACTGATGGTACCCATATGATAAGAATCATCAATAAGCCAAGAGCCATAACTATTGTTCAGGACTGGAACGTTTGGTGCTGAAAGAAATGTGTTGCTGTAGCCAAAGAAAAGGAACTCTTGATTTGCCAAATCTTAGTTAACAAAGACGGAATCTTCGTATTTACATATGCAGTTAGGGAAATTTACTTGGTTGAAGAAGACTTTTAGACAATCAGTCTCATAAAAACCTAATTGACTAAGCTCTACATTGGTTCACTTGGAAACACACAAAGTCAGGGGCACCTGAGTGGCTCAGTTGGTTAAGTGGCTGACTCTCAATTTTGGCTCAGGTCATGATCATATGGTTTTGAGAGTGGGCCCTGCATAACGGCTCAATGCTGACAGCATAAAGCTTGCTTGGGATTCTCTCTCTCTCTCTCTCTCTCTCTGCCTATCCTTCCCCCTCAAAATAAATAAATAAACTAAAAAAGAAGCAGCAGCAGCAGCATACAAAGTCAGGAAACACAGTATTGCAGCAAGGCAATATCAGAGGAGTTTCTATAGCAGGGGCATCATGGTAATCCATGCAGCATTCTAGGGTCTCCTCTGTGACCCCTGTGTCCCTCTGGCGACGGCTCAGGTTCTAAGAAATGGGACCACACAGGTGCCACCCTGGCTTAGGAGCTACTGTCTCTAGTAACAATCCTCCAGACACAACTCCCAGCTTCCCAGCAAGGGACATGAGCAGTTTTGAGAACTTGCTACACCTATGGAAGCCCAAAGTATCCCACCAGATACTTAAAGTTCATTTCCAGGCCCTCCAGTTTATCTACAGTTTATCAATTATATTATTTTTACCAGAAGTAATGTTGCCTCGAAACACAGCGACATGCCACCTTTAAGGAGTTACCAGAGTAACAAAGCTAGAAAGTTAACTTAATTTGTCCATAGAGAAGGAGAAAAAGGTTTTTTAACCTTTTCTTCATATCTTGCTAGATAAGTCTCAGGCCAATAAGGTCATCCTAGGGAGTGGTTTCAGCTGCATCTCTAAGCTTCAGAAACTGAGAAATAACTGTAGGAATTTTTTTCAAAAGCAAGACATTTGAAAAAAGCCTCAATCCTGACAAGGGTGTTACTTATGTTTACAGCTATGTAGGCAGCCATCTTGTCCCTTGTCCTGGGATAAATCTGAAAATATTAAGGATTCACTGCTCTTTGATATTATTCCATCTCCTTTGGTTTTGAAACCACTGGTGGCGCAATGACTATTCTGAGTGCGATCCCAAAGTTTATGCCAAATGGACTTGGACCTTCTCTATCTACTCTGACAATTGAAAGTTTGAACTAAGAGACATTCCTCCTGCACTTTAGACTTGTACAACTGTAGTAACTTTTTTTTAAAATTAATTCTTTTAAATGTTTGTTTTTGAAAGAGACAGAGCATGAGAGGGAGAGGGGCAGGGAGAGAGGGAGACACACACTCTGAATCAGGCTCTAGGCTCTGAGCTGTCAGCACAGGGCTCGATGTACACGAACTGTGAGATCATGACCTGAGCTGTAGTCAGACGTTCAAATCGACTAAGCCACCCAGGCACCCTTGAAGTAACTTTTGATGTTAATGCTAACAGCATCTTAAATGTATATGCTCTAGATAAGAGATCAAGGAAATTAAAGATTAAAAGGCCACTGTCATGGTGTTTGAATGTGGAAAACATTGAGTACACAGAACAAGAGGCTTAAAAGTACAAAGCTAGAGATGAGAAGCAGAGAGGCAAAATATCCCCTAAAGACATGCTCTGATCCTATGATTTCAACAGTAAGGCCATGGTGGAAGATGAGACACATCCAAGCAGAATCAAAAATGAAGTCGAACAGAAGATGCCTGTTCTGGAACCATGACAGCAGAAATAGAACAAGTTGACCAACATACAACAAAACACATTCCACAGAGTTATAAAGTCTAAAGGATCCTAATTTGTAGAAACTACGGTGACAGTTTTTAAAAATCATATTTGACCTATTTAATATATTACTGGACATTTTGAATACTTGAATACACACAGGTGAAGAGAATACAGGTTCATTTTATTCATATAATAAATGGAAAGTGCTATTCATTTTACAGAACAAAGCTATTTTTTTTTTCTTTTAGAGAGAGGCAAGCCGAGGGAGAGGGAGAAAGAGAATCTTAAGCAGGATCCATGCCCAGCATGGAAAACGACAAAGGGCTTGATCTCACGACAGTGAGAGCATGACAAGCTGAAATCAAGAGTCTGACACTTAACCGAGCCACCCACGCACCCTGAACCAAGTTATTTTTAAGTTAGCATCTTTTGTTGGTGGGAGAGTGATGGAATCCAGAGCACTTAGTTTAAGACTGCCCCTCTCTAGTCCCAAACACCTCCCCTTTCCTATTTCCCAACACTCATCACTACTGTCATGAAACCCCTAGGATTGGTCTCATTATGTTTTTAGCTTTTAAGTAAGCTCTATGGCCAATGTGGGGCTTTAACTCACCATCATGAGATCAAGTCACATGCTCTCCTGACTGTGCTAGGCAGATGCCCCTCGTGCTCTTTATCCTTGTTTAGGTCATCAACAAAAGTCCCAAATTCCCATATCACCACTTACCTACTACATTCTAATTCCCATAAGGCTCTGAACAGGCCCTGTTTTGTCTTCTCCTCCCTCCCCTCCCCCAACTCCTGATTATCTTTCCTCTGTGTACCCCTGGAACTCAGTGTCCTTCAGCACAATCACATACAGCTTCACTCTCTTCTCTGAATCGACCCTTCTACACCTTCTTGCTGTAACTAAAGCTTGAATGTCTCAGGAGGACTCTGTTTCCTTTGCA